AACTTTCTATATATCTCGCTCTGGCCATTAGAAAGTGGGAGGAGCTTTGTAAACTTGAAGAGTGTATTTGTGGGTGTTACCAAACCAAACTTGGTTCCGCTCACCCAGATGTGCAGCAAAGCCAATATATTGACACCGGGTTGTGGTGAAGGAAAGTACAGCATTTATTGCAGGGCCAAGCAAGGGGAATGGACAGCTCACGCTCAAAAGACCTGGACTCCCCACTGGCTTTTAGGGAAGGGTTTTTAAAGACAAAGTGAGAGGGAGGGTCTGGGGTACATGATCAACTCATGGACATCCTTCTAATTAGTTGGTGAGGTGGTAACAAGGTGATCTCAGTTATCAGTTTTCTGGCTCCAGCCAGTCTGGCGTCTAAGTGCTTTGCTGCTGGTCGTCCGAATGTAGTTAACATCTTCCGCCTGATGGGGGGTTTTTGTCTGTGCAAAACAACTCAAGGATATGGTTCAGGATATTATCTATAGTCCTTGAGGAGGAACTAAAGGTCCTTGACTCTGTTTTATGGCTAAACTATTATTATTTTGTCTTGTTTCACTGTTTTCCTTTGTTTCTGCATTTTTAAATTTCTCTGATTAAATCTGCTCTTTGGAACTTGAGGAAGACCTAGGAAGTTAAAGGTTTTTTACAAACAAGAGGTGGGGAACATGGGGGGAGTTTGTCACCAGGAAGGCCCCATAGTGTCCTGCTCGGTTTCATGGGCACTGTGGTTGGCGCACTACACAGAATCTAACTTAAATTATCCCCTCATAACAACCTGTTTAGAGGCTGGGAAAAGTGAAGAAACTTTGGAACTAGAAATCAAACCCAGGTTTTTCTGGGTCTGTTTTTTTTTTTTTTTTTCTACCCTGGCTAGGACCAGTGGGAAAAAAGTGTTGAGAAGGGAGATTGTAAGCAGATAGGGTAGGGGGTCCTGGAGAAAGGGATCCAGGAATGGTTTTCTTGATACAAGAGAACCCATTTTGGCCTAAGCCCTTTTGTGATCTAAGCCTGGCCACAATGCTTGCCCTTGAGTAGGTCTCAGTAATTAATGATTTTAAGGGAACAAAGGAACGCAGGAACAGAGAAAAGGCAGTCAAATAGTGCAGTGATAAAGCAGAGTCCTAGTTTCTCCTCAAGGGGTATACATAATAATATATCCTTTTTAAAAATTTATTTCTTGTGGCTGAATGGCATGTGGGATCTTAGTTCCCTGACCAGGGAAGTCCCACCAATATATCTTAGAGTTCTGCGGGAAAAAGGCCCCTACCCAGGTGGAGGACAGAATGATGACGTTGACCCTCCCGACTTCAGTCAGCTAAGACTTGGACTCTGTCGACCTTAGCCCCAATTCTGTGCTAATAGTCCTCTGCTCAAGCCCCTTCATTAATATGTATGTACCCTTAGCTTAAACCTTCCCAAGTTTTGCTGTTTGGGGAGATACTGCTTTGGGAAAGATCCCCAGTGTTCTCCTTCCTTGCTGCAAGTAATATACATCCTTCTCCTGATCTTTGACTTGGTTGTGTCTATTGGCTCAACATCCACCAAGAGGTGAACCCAGCTTTCAGGGAACAAGATCTCTGTGCAGGAGACTATTGTCAACTCTTCCCATTGGTCAGAGCCCTCCAGGAAGCTCAGAAGATTCTGGTTCATGGTAGAATCCAGTGCTTCTGGCCCTGTAGGCTTGAGTGAACTGGGGGCAGGGCATAATGGGGGAAAGAAATCCTCCTTCGAATACTTCCTTCCTTCCACCTGCTAGAGGTCTCAGGAGATCACACTCTCAGGCTCATAAAAGGCCTAAAGTAAGAATTAGGGGCCCAAGGAGACCTTCAAAAGGTCTTATCTGTGGGACTTCCCTGGTTGTCCAGTGGCTAAGACTCTGCGCTCCCAATGCAAGGGGCCTGGGTTCTATCCCCGGTCAGGGAACTAGATCCCACATGCATGCTGCAACTAAGGAGCTGGTGAGCCACAACTAAGGAGCCCGCCTGCTGCAACTAAGATCCCACACAACCAAATAAATAAATATTTTTAAAAAAAGAAGATAGAGAGAGGATTCGCTCTTATCAGTTGTCACTCTGTTGGGTTAACACCTGGGAGGAAGAACTAGCTGATGCCCAAACCGTCAGACTCCACTGTCAGCTACTAAAGAGCCCAGTAAATATCGACAGACCATCCATTAAAAATCTCTCCACCACCAGCCTAACTCCTCTGGATTTAGAAGCTGGCAGAAAGAGGTCAGAGGAAAATGAATTTACAAGTGTTTACAAAAGAGGGAGAAACAGATCAGGTATTTCTTCAGAAAAGGGACTTTTTAAAGGACAGCCAGAAAAAGTGGGGGGAGGATTGTTTCTACTTTAGCCTTTTCCAGTACTTCCTTAAAGTCTTTTAAAATTTTTTTTGTAATAGTTTTATTGAGATATAACTGACATACCAAAATATTTACTCATTTAAAAGTGTACAATGTTTTTTTTTTTACTGTGCTCATAGGGTACATATATATCCATCACCACAATCAATTTTAGAGCACTTTTATTACTCAAGAAATCCCATACCTTTTAGCTCTCACCTCCCAAATCTCCCATCTCCCTGTCTGCCCCCCCATCCTGAGACAATCACTAATCTACTTTCAATCTCTATAGATTTGCCTCTTCTGGACATTTCATATAAATGGGATCATATAATATGTGGTCTTTGTGACTGGCTTCTTTCACTTAGCATAAATGTTTTCAAGGCTTATCCATGCCGTAGTATGTACCGATATTTCATTCCTTTTTATAAATGAGTACCATTCCGTTATATGGGCATATGGCGTATTGTGTATCAATTTATCAGTGGATGGGCACTGGGTTGTTCTACCCTTTGTTTATTGTGAATAACGCTGCAATGAACATCTGAATCCAAGTTTTTGTGAGGATATGTTTTTATCTCTTTTGGTTGTATACCTAGGCCTCTTTTCCAGAAGCTCAACAGGCAAACATCTTCTGTGCATACAGGCCAAGGCCCTTCTGTACATTCTGAGAGCTATTCCCTGGTCCCAAACCTGGCAAGTTAAGCCAAAATTCTATTAAACCTTCAAAGTCCATTTCATTCATTTATGAATTCACTCAATGAACAAGTGTTCGTTCTCTACTAGGTGCCAAGCACGCTACTATGTGCTGGGGATGCAGAGGGAACAACACAGGCAAAATCCTGGTCCTCTTGGAGCTTAAGAACCAGTGAGAGCAAAGAGGGAAGTAACATAGATCCTGTGGCATGTTGCTTCCTCCATGAAGCACTCCTGGATCTCCCAGGAATGGTTCAATTCTACTCTAGTAGTACCTGCTTATTTTTCTTTTGCTCTATTTCAAAAGGGATTTCTATCTCTATAACGGCACCCATCCAAAATCCCGCAAAATTGAGAGAATGCATGGAAAGCACTTGGCACTCCTCTTGTCATGCTATAAAGAGAGAGGGAGAGAGAGAGATTTATCGTGATCATGGGCGTGTCCTCCTACTTGTGCCTCTTATGAGCACTCTTATGGAATTCAAGAATGACTGATGTCATATGAAGGTGACTTGGCAAAACACTGACTTGCAGTCTGGAGTCCAAGGCTGGAGTCTCTTGATCCCCTGCTTACAACTGCTATTGTAAGTTCCTTGGATATTCCACACACTTGAGGATGCAGCAACCATGTGTGGACTGAGTCTTTTTTCCTTCCACTCTTACCCCTAACTGGGACCAAACAGGTGTGACCACATGTGTCCGGAGAGCTCTCTGAAGGGCCCTGGCATGCACAGGGACTGTGTCACAGCTCATGGCCAGGCATCTGCAGGACACAGCAGACATCCAGGGCCTCCTGGAGTTGGCCAGATCTACAGCTTTCTTACTACAGGAGCACCAGGATAAAATAGCAGACTTTTCTGAGCCCGTTGAATAATACTGGGATCATACCAACCTCGCAAGATTGTCATGCGTGTTAGAAACATCCAGGGGACTTCCCTGGTGGCGCAGTGGTTAAGAATCCGCCTGCCAATGTAGTGGACACAGGTTCTAGCCCTGGTCCGCGAAGATCCCACATGCCACGGAGCAACTAAGCCCGTGCGCCACAACTACTGAGCCTGCGCTCTAGAGCCCGTGAGCCACAACTACTGAGCCCACGCGCCTAGAGCCCGTGCTCCACAACATGAGAAGCCCCCGCAATGAGAAACCCTCACACCGCAATGAAGAGTAGCCCCCGCTCGCAGCAACCAGAGAAAGCCCGCGCACAGCAACGAAGACCCAACACAGCCCCCAAATAAATAAATAAATAAATTTATTTTAAAAAAACATCCGGGGAATCATGGAACCAAGTGGGACTTGAGCCCCTCCATCAGCCTCCATAGGAACCCCCACCCCCAAGTAAACTTCAGGTACAACAGTGTGCTTGCTGTGTACGTCCTCTTCAGGACCGGCCTCCTGACAACCACTCTTCCAAACAGATTTTTGCCTCTCAGGTGCCTCTCTATAGAAATCCTGATGCAGCTCCTGAAATTAGTACTCGGTGGTAATTAACTACTACCTTTTTTTTTTCTTACATAGCTGGACGATCTGATAGGCACAGTCTCAGAATAGTAAAGCTAACAGCCTTTTAAGGCTTTTCTGGGAAGCCTGCTGTCTCGATACCCCCATCTCTGGCAGTTGTTTCTGGATCAACGAAATAAGAAACAGCTGTCCCCTCCCTCAAGTAGGAATCCAGGCTTTGGCTTTGATGCGCTGCGTCTCGGCCGGGTGGGCCCCGGGGAATCTCTTCAGGCAGGGTGAGGCCCCGAGGGCCGCCTCCAGCCCCCTTCCGCTCCGCACGGGTCCCAGCGCGCAGGGTGGAAGCCGGCGGCGCTCAGAACCCCTTTTCCCAGGCGGCTGGAGGCCCGGGAGCCCGGCGGGCGCGGCGGCGGGGCGCCGGCGGTCACGTGGTGAGTCAGCCGGGCGCGGGGCGGGGCGGGGCGGGGCGCCGGCGGTCACGTGAGGAGTCAGTCGAGCGCGGGGCGGGGCCGGGCGCTCTACTTAGCACGGGGGCGACCCTGAGGAGCTACAGCTGCTGCTCAGGCACCGGCACCATCACCAGCGCCGGCCAGGGCGGTCTCAGGCTGCAGGCCCAGGCCCTCTGCGGCGGCAGCGGAGCGCGGTGAGTGAGTGCGTGCGGGCGGGTCGGGGGGATGGGGAGACCGGCGTCCCTGGCCGGCGGAAAGGGGGACCCTCGGGCAGTCGTAGCCGGGCGAGCCGGGGCGGCACGGCGTCCTCCCGGATGTCGTTTTGGTGAGAAAAGCAAAACTCAATCCCAGCGCGGGTAGCCGGTGCTCCTCCCCCATTCCCACTCCGGCTGGGAGGCTCGTGTTCCCCCCTCCTAGCCCCCAGTCCCCGAGTCGTGTTCTGACCCCAGGCCGGGTCAACCAGACCCCACGGTCCGCCGTCTTCAGGGCCGGGGAGGGCCGGGCGGTGGGATCCGAGGGAGGAGCCTGCGAGGAAGAGCTTGGCCCGGGCCCCGCTGACTTCGGCGGCAGCTCGGCTCCTCAGCCCCTTTTGAGCTAATGGGCCTCAGTTTCCTCGGCAAATTGCTGGGATGATAATATTTACCTGCATCAGTTTTAGGTGTATTCTTTTTCTAAAAGGTTTGCCCGGGCAGTTTCTTGCACACAATCACACCCAAGTCCGGGGACCCCCAGAGGACAGAAATTGGGAAACAGGAACCTGGAACTGGGTGGAGGAAGGTGGGACCCACAGGAAGAGTTAAATCCACAGATGGGAGGAGAAACTAAGCAGAGGGGGGGGACAGGAGGCTGTAGGGCCCGGGGTGCCAGCCCCGGGAGTGTCGGGGGAGGGAGAGGCCGGGCCCACCCCTGGATTGCTAAGGAAGGGAGCCGGTCTGGGCCCAGGGTGCTGCGGGAGAGGCGAAGGCAGGGCAGAGCCCCGGGGGCATCGCCTGTCCCTCAGCTGATGACCGTGGAGGCCTCGGAGAGGGAGCGTTGTGGGGTGACCGAGTTTGGGGGTCTGCCGGCTGTCCAGGTAGATGTGAATTGGATTTGTCTTCTTCGTGGGCCTCGGTCATCCCCTTCCCCTGGCACTGAGGAAGCCAGTAGGCTGGCACGGGGAGAAGGACAGTAGCTCAGGCTCCACATTCCCTCCTCCTGACCCAGGAGAGAATCGTACCCAGTGGGGGGAGGAGGGGTTCAAAGGGAGGCCTAGAATCTTTGGTTACCTTTGGAAAAACCGACCCTCAGGTGCCTCACTAGAGGCGGATGCAGCTGAGGTGCGTTCATCTAATTGAATCTATAGATGCAGGGTGATATGAGGAAGAGCCTTAGCAGGGCGTCTGCTTTGGTAAAGGCTACTTTCCTTTTCTTTCATAACATCCTTAACTTGCTGGAGGATTGTTTTCTGTTGGCACTGGGGATGGTGACTTAGCGCCTTTGAGCTTCGTAGAGAAAGGGGCTGTGCTGCCCCCAACCTGTGTGGCTTTCCCAACGAGTTGAAGGCACCCTGGAGAATGGATTCACTCAAACCTTTGGGGGCATTTTTGTCCCAGAGCTGGGGTACAGCCAAGTGGAAGGGTGCTGATCCCTTATCTGGGGGCTTCCCAGGCCCAGGGGAAGGCGACTTGGGCCAGACACAGCCCTGACTCCACTTGAGCTCCCCTGCTGCTGGGTCTGGACAGCCTGTTTCTGAACTGGCCAGGCAGTGAGCGTGGAAGCCCTTTAGCCCCAGGAAGCACCTTCCTGTGTGCTGCCGATTCAGCAGCCTGGGCTGCGGCCCTCCTTGTAGATGGGCTCTTTCTTTCCCCAGCTGCCGGCCCTGGGAGTTGGAGTAGGATGTGGTATACGTTTTAGGGCTAAGATACCTTGTTTTACCATTGGCAGCTGGATTGGGAAGTGAAGGAAGAGTGCTTTCAGGTGAGCCTTGGGTTGTCTCTTGGGTGGTTTTCTTAAATGTGGTGATGAGTTGGGGTTGTATTGAATATCCCTGTGCTCGGGAGAGAAGAACTGAAACGTATGAGGGTGAGGACCCACAGTGTCTGCCGCCTGTTTTGGGCAGTTTAGCATAAGGAAAGCATTGGAAATACGTGAGGCTGAACTATATGAAATGGTAGTTTTTGTACATCAAGGAGGATTGCAGTCAGGCACTTGGATATGGTTCAGCCTCACCTGTAGAGGTGGTCAGGATTGACGGTAAATTGACGAATCTAGTTGAAGCACACGCAGGTGTGTGTTGGACTCACTGGGTTTTGGGAGGCTGTTGGCATTCCACCCCTCGTTCCGTGTCTTCATCTTTCTTGGTTCACGCTCAGCGCACACTCCAGAGCTGCCTAAGCAAGGGTGCCTGGGAGATGACTCCCGAGTTCCTCCATGCCTGGTATGTTCACATCCCAACCTAGTTTAGGTAGGAGGGGGATCTAGGGATCAAACACCATTAAACATTTAGACTTCAGTCCCGTTTTAAAGCACAGGCCTCATCCCCACCTGCTTTCTGCAGCACCCACAGCTTCTTAGGTGAGTGTGTGTGTGTGTGTGTGTGTGTGTG